CCGCACCAAACCCCGTTCACAAAACAGCACATTTAAGAGTATCCCGCACCAAACCCCGTTCAAAAAACAGCATATTTAACAGCAGCCCGCACCAAACCCCGTTCAAAAACCTCTCATGTCATGTTGGCTCACTTATCTGCAGATGTTCATGTGAGAATGAGTCAACAACCAACATCTCTCAGCTTTGTCTCATGTTCAGTTTGTCTCAGAGACACTTTCTGAGCAGTAACTGAAGCTCAGAGTCACATGTGAGGCTCCGTCTCCAGGACACGAGGACAATAGATGAAGTGAAGACAACACATCAACAGATTCTCTACATCAGAAGAAACAGTTTGTGACTTCAGGTATTTGTACATGAGGACACGTCTGACAGAGATGAAGGAGCAGACACATGAACTGAGGAGTCACTGATGAAGATGAGGAGACGTGTTGTGTATCAATAAGTCTGGTTGTGATCAGCTGATGATTTACAACATCCACAGTCACTCACCGTATCCACGACAACAAGCAGTGATTTCTGAATAAAGACACTTTTACAAGTAAACGAACAAAGAGCGGATTTTCATCATTTTTATTTTGTAGCTGCTTTTACAGTGAATTCAAACCACCGGCACCTCCACCTAAATACCCTCCAAAGACTTTAATTACCACAAACATCATCTAAATATAGTGTTTGAACTCTCACGTACAGTAGTATCTCAGAAGAACACATTCTAGAAGTTCTATTTCAACAGAGACCGAAACACGGCTCTGCAGCACAGAGTTAAAATCCCACAATGATAATACTTGGTGCTCTTCACACGAGGTGTAACTTATGACCTGCATAACTCTCAGTGTCGAGGACAACGGAAAATAAAACACACACCTTCTGCCACAAATGAACAACATTAGAAGTAAAAAAAAAAGCACAAAGTGATAATCACCCCCCCCCCCCAACAACCAGCATTTAATCTGCAACAGAGTTTTGGCAGGAATCACCACGGATCAATGAGAACTGAGGCTCGGAGCTCACAAGCGGAATATTTAGGCATGAACACGTCAGGTTTTAGGTCTCAGTCACAGAAAATTAAGAATAAACACGAAACAAACGGGGAAATAAAGGTGGAGATTTTATTTACAGGAGTCGACGGTTGTTTACGTGCCACTTTTTAAAGAATGGTCTGAATACAGGTGAGAAAACATCGTAACCAGTTCAGGTCTGTTAAAAGAGCGACTTCAGGGTCGTCAGGTTACGTCTGGTGTTTATTCACCTTTCAACTTAGACTTTCTGTAAAAAGGGGAATCTAACCTGTGTTTATTAATGACTTGCTAAAGTTCACGGCTGCAGATACACAAGCTACAAACGATGATCATTTTCATTGTCTGGTAATTGTTTTTCTAATGTTTAACTTTATCGCAAACACAAATACATTCAATTAACAGAGAAAGAGAAACTCTGAACACTGATATTTGTTATTTTTTTAATACTGTATTTTCACTGATGGATTAAATTCTTCTGTGCGAACATTTGTCACGGCAGCGTTTTCTACCTGATCTGTAAAACGTGAAGATATCTTCAGTTCACACACGTCTCTGATCCAGAGGCTGGAGAACTCCAGATGTAACCATAGCAACAGTGAAGTTTTAATCACAGAAACTCATCAGTGTGGGTGGAGCCTGACTCTGTTTGTCTGTAGAGAGTCAATATCAAATAAAAGCCGTCAGCCTCACTCCTGCCTGGATCTGGAATTGATCACATCGTTATGTAACATGGTTGTAATGTTTGGTCATAAAAATAAAATCTCTCTATGATCGTCTGACAAACTTTTCAAGTGTTTCGCATCCTGTTCCCAAAAATCAACAACAATAATGGTAATAAATAAAACCGTGGCGGTGGACTTGTTGCTGAACTTCCGGCTCTCGCTCAGCCTCTCGCTCAGCCTCTCGCTCACTGCTGCTTCTCTCGCTCGGCGACGTCCAGGGCGGCCATGTTCTGGGAGGCGGTGATGAGGTGCACGAGGCTGATGCCGGACTTGAGCAGGCAGATGGTCCCACAGAGTCCCTGCAGCCAGTAGAGCCACGCTGCCACAGAAAACACACGTTACATTCAGCAGCTCAGAGCTGTGAGGACGTTTTTATGTGTTCATTAAATATCAACTCTAATTTTGTGTCAGGATATTTTATTAATAACTGATCCGCCTGCTGGGACAGAGTCTGAAGGTCAGAGTCTACAGGCAACTTCAAACATGGCAGAGAGCCCACGTTTCTGTGAGCGAATCTATAATCCTGTCTGTGTCCGACGTGAGGAAGAGCACGATCTTACCAGCAGGCTCCGAGATGTGATGAAGAAGGTAGAGCAGACAGAAGAAGAGGTCGTTCCCAGCGCACATGACGAACAGCACTGGCTGCAGGAGACACAAAGCTGTCAGTGACAAGAGCCGCTCAGATCAGCATCTGTTTTCTGTGTGAGCCACAGAGATCTGACCTTGGAGGTGTAGTAGATCCTCAGGATGGGGTTCCCAGAGAGGTCGATGGTCTTGTGACTGCCTGATCCCTTTATGGTCGAGCTGAGGAAGACGAAACAGTTAAGACAGTAAAATGATGAAGGTGAGTTCGAGGCTACTCTCTGGATACAGAGACACGATACATGAATCCATTCCCTCTGGTTATTAATATGATCCTTCATCTTATGAATCACTTCCTGTCATCTAACGGTGGATCTGTTCTGCCGTGTGACCAGAGGCGGGTCACGTGTTTCCTCTACAGCGCAGGTATCTCCAACATCAGTTAACTCAACTCAGTACAACTCACTCCTCCAGCGACTGTCTCCTCACGAAACCACGTTTAAATTCACCCACTGAGGTGGACATGTTTTCTCATGCAGCTCCGGTGAGGACGGACCTGTGCAGGTGCAGCCAGTGGCTGGAGATGTCCAGACACATGCTGACCTGGAACAGGAAGGTGTAGGACGGGTAGAGCAGGGACAGGTTGACCAGCAGACACATGGTGGCACAGCGGTCCGTCAACATGTCCAGCATGGCTCCGAACTTTGTGCCTGAAAATGTATTTATGTTGAATTATTGTTGTACTTTATAGGAAATGTAATAAATGAGTGTTCTGTGTTTTTATGTCTCACACACACACACACACACACACACATACACTGATTCAGTGCACGAGCAGCGTAGCCATCGAAAGAATCGAGCAGAGCACTGAGCAGGTAACAGAAGACCGCCGGCCATGGACTGATGGGCATCAGGTAGAAGGACAGGAGAGCCAGCACCACAC